AACCAACCAACCAACCAACCAACCAACCAACCAACCAACCAACCAACCAAAGAGTGAAGCAATCGTTTGTTGAGTTCCCGCACCTTACACAGAGCAGGAGAGTTGTGGATACGGACCTTGTCTCCAAAACTGGAATTCAGTGCCCAGTGCCCAGGGGTCTGCAGGGTTAGCAGGCATGGCAGTAGGCCCCAGACCATATTTTCCTCTGTGTGCATGGATAGGGAGTGTTTTCAGAACTGGGGTGCTGTGTGGGCTCAGTATTTAACTTTTGCGATCTGGTTAGCACGAAATTTGCTGTGTAGCCCAGGCTGGCCTTGAAATCAGATCCACCAGCCTGTGCTGGGACTAAAGCTGAGATTAAGCTGCTGTGCAGTGCTAGACTGGAATGGAAGGTTTCTTGAATGGGAGGCTAGAGTTCTGTTGAGCTACACCTCAGCCCCAGGCCATCTTTTAAAATTCTGGTTTTGCTGGCTGGGTGTGGTAGTGCAAACCTCTGATGGAAGCAGTGGGGAGGCAGTGGAGAGGCCAGCCTGGTCTGCGGAGTCAGTTCCAGCTCAGCCTGGGCTACATAGAAAAGGTTTACTCTGTGGATTGATTCTCAAGCCCCTGTAGACATCTGTAGGCTCTGAGTACCAGTTCTGTTCCAACTCTTGCCATCCCTTCCTGTCAGAAATTTCTATCTGCTCCATTCCTTATGGAAGGAAGAAACCTCTGTCCATCCTCTGGGCTTGGCTGCAGATGGGGAGAAGAAGGGGGTGGGGGAGGTGGGCAAATCAGCCTGTCTTCAGCTTTTGCAAATCAAGTAGGGCTAGGACCCAGACACACCTAGCATTTACTTGTTGCCTCTGGCTGCCCTTAACACGTGGTTGAGCCTAGGCCGCAAGCTGTTGGATCATAAAGTCCTAGATTTTTACTATCTCCACCCCTTATAGATTGAGGCCCAGTGAGTCCTCCAGCTCCTGAAGTTTACAGTCAACCTGAGTGGTGTAAGTAGACTATCTACACTGCCTCTGACTGACTTCATTGTCAGTGGAGAGTGTCTACAGATCTGGGGGCTGTTGGGAACATAGCCCAAAATAGATGAGCATCTTCCTGGCAGACCTGGTGGCTACAGGAGACCTGATTGAATTTACCAGCATATCTAATGGAGGGCTCCAGACTCTCCAGGATGATTAGCCTGGCCTGGGAGCAGATAAACAGGCAGATGTGCCTACATGCCCAGGAAAAGGGAAGCTGAGGCTAGGGGCAGCCTTTGCGTGATTAAACATTCAGCTCATACGATTAATATCTTCCTGGTTTTGACCTCGTTATTCTCTCAGTCAGGTTGGGCACCTGCTATGAAGGTAGACAGATTTATTTCTTAGGTTGAAGGCCTTCTTTCCCCACTGGTTTCTCTGGGGCTTGTGTGCATCAGGCTCTT